ACACAAAATCAATACCAGCTGCATTAAAATTTTAATTGTGGAAAGCAAAACTAGAAATTTTTAACTTATGTAGAAGTATCTTTATAGTCTTGTGACAAGAAAAAAATTTAAAAAATAACAAGATACAGAAAGTACAAATCATAGGAATAAAATTCTACCTCATTAAAACTGAGAACTTGTTATTCAAAAGACTCTTTACAAAGGGAAAGATAAGTCATAAACTGGACAAATGTATTTTAAAAATGAAATGTTAGCCTCCAGAATAGATGAAGAATTCCTACAAATCAATTAAGAGAAAGCCAAACAACCAAATAGAAAAATGAACAAAAGATCAGAACAGACATTTCACAGATGAGGAAATATGAGTGAACCATACACATTTGAAAATATGCTCAATATAATTATTAAACAATACATTTTAAAACAAATGAGATACCAACCATCACCCAACAGATTGGCGATTTGCCCCCTTCCCCGCCTCCCCCCGCCCCCGCCCCAAAATGACACTATAAAGTTGGTGAGGACATGGAACAGCTAGAACTTTGGAAAACAACTTGGCGCTATCTAGTAAATTTAAAGATGTTCATATTGAACCATCAGCAATTTCACTCTGAAATATGTGCCCTAGAGAAACTCTTGTCCATGCGAACCAGGAGTCTCATACAACCATGTTCATAAACAGCACTGTTTACAATACAAAAAACTTGAGCACCATACTGATGACAGCGTTCTAGAATGGAATAAATGAATATGCTCTAATACATGTACATAATAAAATGCTATACAGCCATGACAACAAATGACAACCATGTACACACATAGATGAATCTTAAAAACATATTACTGTGTGATAAGAAGTCACAGAAAAATAAACTCAGTGACTATATTTAGATAAAATTTTAAAGCCTGTAAAATTAATAATGTATTGTTCAGAGTATAAACATCTTACCTAATAGACAAACATGTAAATTAACCATCCCTCCGCTACGCTCACCAGCCAATCAGGAGAGTATGCAAATTAACCCAACAAAGATGATGGTTAATTTGCATATGTAGGAGTGGTGGAGCGAAGACTCTGTCCGGAGCCGAGAAGACTAAAGGCTCCGTCTGGAGCAAAGGCCTGGGTCCCGGGTGCCGGAGGAAAACCGGTGCCGGCGGAAAACCGGTGCCGGCAGCCAGGGGAAGGGAAGGCCTATTGCACGAATCTCTTCGTGCAACGGGCCTCTAGTATGTAATAAAACTATAAAGAAAAGCAAGGAATGGTGAGCACAAAATTCAAAAGAGTAGTCACTCAGAAGAAAGGAATGGGCTCAGTGAAGCAAACATCAAGTGTTGGTGAGGGTCAGTACTCCCAAACACCACAGGCCAGAGTGCAAACAGCGGATCACTGTACCTATGGAGGGAAAAGGCAGGAAGGAAGGAGAACTGAGGATTCTGTACCAGAATACTTTCCTACTTTATTTTTGCCTTGGGCTGAAGTTGCCAAAATTATAACATGGAAATTAGAACCATCTGTTGACAGGATAAGTTAGTGAGCTGGGCAGAATTTACCAAAAGAAATTGAGTAATGTATTTTAGAATCTGTTTCAAATTGTAGAAAAATATAAATAAAAAGCCTACTTTATTTGAGAGAGGAAAAAGCTGTCATTTAATCATTATCTATAATGAGAAAAACATGGAAATAACTTAAATAACCATTAACATAATACTGGTTAAATAAAATAGGAGACATTCATACTGTGGCACACTGTTATAATAGTTATAAAAAATTAAATAGATCAGGAATAGTAAAATGGACTGATATGGAACAGGAGAGAGTTGTTAAATAGATGCTACTTAGTATATGTTAGAGTCATTTCAAAACAGAAGAGAAAAATGAATTAGTCAATAAAATGTTTTTGAGACACTGGATGCCCACTGCTATATCTCAAAACATTCACAAATATTTTAAATCCAGATAGGTTAAAGAACTAAAAAATTAAAATGAAATATGGGTGAACATGCACTATGAACCTATGTGGGTAAAGCCTTCTAAAAACACAAGAACAAAAGCTCAGAAGGAAAAGAGGAATAAATATGACTATACGAAACAGAAAGCCTCTATAAAAACACCAACAAAACAAAAAAAGTCTATAAAAAAGGTTTAAAGGTAATTCATAGCCTGTAAAATGATATTTGCAACATAAATAACAGAAAGGATTAGTAAAATGGTAGAATCATCCCTCATGTGACATATTTTGTGACTTTTTTCCTCTTAACCATTGCCACTGATGCTCATTTATACTCAGTTTCACTTGTATTAAAATGTTGGCAGGGGGAACCATGTCCACAAAGCCTGAACATGGATATTTACAGCACCTTTATTTATAACTAGAGGCCTGGCGCACAAAATTCGTGCGCGGGTACGGTCCCTAGGCCTGGCCTGTGATCAGGGCCATCTTCCCCAGCTGCCTGCAGTTGGCCCTGCCACCCACCTCCACCCACCCCCGGTTCCCCGTTCGTCATCCGGTGATTGGAGCCTGCCGGCCTGGGGGAGGAACTGAGAGGTTGGCCATTCCCACTTGCTCACGGGTCTTGCCCCCGCCATGGGTCACCCTGTGTATGTGGGGCGACTGGCGGGGCGGGGGCCTTGGCCTGGCACCACCCGCGTCCCCTGCCACCCACCCCCAGTTCCCCGTTCGCTATCGGCCAATCAGAGCCTGTCGGCCAGGGAAAGGGACTGAGAGGTGGTCAGTGTGCCCCATAGTGACTGGTCCAGTGGACGTTCTGGTCGTTCCACCATTAAGGTCAATTACCCTTTTATTATATAGGTTTGCCAAAACTTGGACACAACTAAGATGTTCTTCAGTAGGTGAATGGATAAATACCCTAGCACAGGGGTGGGCAAACTTTTTGACTCGAGGGCCACAATAGGTTCTTAAACTGGACCGGAAGGCCGGAACAACAGCATGGATAGAGTGTTTGTGTGAACTAATATAAATTCAAAGTAAACATCATTACATAAAAGGGTACGGTCTTTTATTTTTTTAGTTTTATTCATTTCGAACGCGGGCCGTAGTTTGCCCACGGCTGCCCTAGCATATCCTATCCAGCACTAAAGGAAAAGGGCTATTAAGACATGAAAAGACACGGAGAAACCGCAATGCATATCACTAAGTGAAAGAAGCCAGTCTGCCGAAACCGGTTTGGCTCAGTGGATAGAGCGTCGGCCTGCGGACTGAAAGGTCCCAGGTTCGATTCCGGTCAAGGGCATGTACCTGGGTTGTGGGCACATCCCCAGTAGGAGATGTGCAGGAGGCAGCTGATCGATGTTTCTCTCTCATCGATGTTTCTAACTCTCTCTCTCTCTCTCTCTCCCTTCCTCTCTGTAAAAAATCAATAAAATATATTTAAAAAAAAAAAAAAAAAAAAAAAAAGAAAGAAGCCAGTCTGAAAAGGCTACATACTGTATGATGCCAACTACGTAACTTTTTGGAAAAGACAAAAGTATGGAGACAGTTCCAATATCAGTAGTTACCAGTGGGTAGAGGGGGATGTAGAAATGAACAGCAGAGCATACAGGATTTTTAGGGCAGTGAAACTTCTCGATATTGTACTATAATGGTGGACACATGTTACATATTTGTCAAAACACATAGAATGTACCAAACCAAGAGTGAAGCCTAATGTAAACTATGGGGTTTGGATGATATTGTGACCATAAAGTGTTAATGTAGGCTCACTGACTGCTATGAATGTACACTCTGGTGCGGGATGCTAATAATGTGGGAAGCAGTGCTTATTTGCAAGTAGGGGGTGTATGGGAAATCTCTGTACCTTCTGCTCAATTTTGTTGTGAACCTAAAACTGCTCTTAAAAATAAAATCTATTAAAAAGGTGGGGGAAATGTATGGGGTTACTAATAAGAATACAAAAATGTGTCCTTACTACTCTTTCTTCAAGCTTCTGGATTTGGATCAGTTTACATAAAGTATATTCTAAGAATACAAAGCAAGATGTCTACAAAACTGTAACCACTTATAACTAATTCCATGTGAATAATACCATCCTTGTGCAGCAAATATTATCCACAACTTCTTGTTTTTGTGTCTATTAAAATATCCTCACCATTCTCATGATTGGCTTTATAAGGAAACTATAAACATGAACTTGTAAAATAAATCTATACTAATAAGCTACAGTTTTTATATTTTTTGGATACTGGGTATCTATTTAAGGGAAAAGTGTGGTGCATGGTCCAAAGATGGGGGAAAGGATGAAACTCAGAACATAAGGAGCCACCTCTGTGATAAGGGAAAGCATGCCTGGGTGAATATAAAAGCAAAGATATCTGAAGGGATGAAAAATACTAATGAAAAAGTTTCATTCTCATATTGGCAGAGGATCTTTCATCCTATTTTTTTAGAAAATCAAGAGGGAAAATGGACTGAAAATTGAGTGTTCATGGAGAATAGAAAGGACGAAGTGGCTCAACAATGAGTCAATCAGATCTTGAGTAGCAGTAGAGCCCAGTTGGAATTTAATGGTGTAATTTATTGGAGACAGATTTTGTATAATTTTATACTGTGCCTTTTATGTTAATTACTCAAGAGTTGATTAACCAATTTGTGGGGTACTATATACATCTTGCTTTTCATCTAATGCTTGCTTCTGAAAAATGGCATAATTTAAAGTCTTTATCAAAGAGAAGTTAATACAAATGAAAAAAGGAACTGAAATTAATTTGTTCTGTTCTTAACCATTCATAAAAGATATAAAGCTTGTAGTTAATAATTTTTTAAACAAAACAATGACAAAATAGAGAAAAAACATTGAAATAAATGGTAAAATAAGATTACAGACTCACACGTGGGTTGAATTTGCCCATGCTAGTCATGTTCAAAGTTAAATTAAAGCCATTGTTCCTATATTTCACAAAATAAAATTTGATGAAAAAAATTCCTGCCCAGTGTTTCTTATTCACGTTTCTGAGTAAACTTCCTATTCTTTAACCAACTTACCTGCATTCCAGAGGTTACAATCTTCTGCTTGCCCTTCTGACAACCATGTAGATGACGAGATAATGGCTGGAGAAATTGTCGGCAAAAGTGGCTTTGGGTCATCCTCATAAAATAACATCAGGTCCTTACAGAAAACAAGAGAGCACATAAAAGTTGAGAAAAAAAAAGAATACCATTGCCTCAGTTTGCTACAATGGATGGGAAATTTGTGGAGATACAATCTATATGCACTATGTGCAAAATGTGTATAAACACATTTTTTAATATATTTTTATTGATTTCAGAGAGGAAGGGAGAGGAAGAAAGAGATAGAAACATCACTGATGAGAGGGAATCATTGATTGGCTGCCTCCTGCACGCCCCCTACTGGAGTTTGAGCCCACAGCCTGGGCATATGCCCTTGACCAGAATCGAACCTGGGACCCTTGAGTCCACAGACCGATGCTCCATCCACTGAGCCAAACCAGCTAGGGCAAACACATTTTGATTGAAAGAATTCACACATGAGCTAACTTGTGTGAATTGGGTGTCCACTGAGTATAGGATGATCCAAATAAAGTATATGCAGTGGGGTTGGTTAATATGTCTTTTTCTCCCATAAATGGGGATACTTAATAGTACTTTGTTATAGTACTAGAGGCCCGGTGCATGAATTCGTGCACTGGTAGGGTCCCTCGGTCTGTGGGGATCGGGCCAAAACCAGCTCTTTGACATCCCCCGAGGGGTCCCGGATTGTGAGAGGGCAGTTCTCAGGTGACGCACCCCGGAATCAGGCTCCCTCCTTTCTGGTTCCGGGTCCATCACCTGAGAACCGCAGCTGCCAAGTCACTGCAGCTAGGCAGCTTCTGCGTTGAGCATCTTCCCCCTGGTGGTTAGTGCGCGACATAGCTAATGGTCGGAGCATCTGCGCCCTGGTGGTCATTGCGCATCATACCTACCGGTCGCACAGTAGAACGGTCGCTTAAGCTTTTATATATATAGATAATGAACATATAGTAAATGCAAAAACCTTAAGTATGAGCTCAGTAACTTTTAACTTTAGGTGTATACCTATACAACCACATTTCCTTCACTCCAGAAAGTTCCCTCAAGTTCCTTTCTAGTTGATACCATCCCTCCATCACTAGTAAACAGTATTCTATATTCTATCACCAACAATGAGTTTGTCTGTTCTTGAACTTCATATATAGTGTATACACTATATATGGTTGTGTATCTGATTCGCATTGTTTAACATAATGGTCAAGAGATGCATCTGTATTTTGTGTGCAAGTAGTCCCCCCTTATCTGTGGTTTTGCTTTCTGTGGTTTTAGTTATACACAGTCAAACATGTTCCAAAAATACTAAATAAAAATTCCTGAAATCGCCCTAACTGGTTTGGCTCAGTGGATAGAGCGTCGTCCTGCAGACTGAAGGGTCCCAGGTTCGATTCTGGCCCAGGGCATATACCTTGGTTGAGGGCACATCCCTAGTAGGGGGTGTGCAGGAGGCAGCTGATCAATGTTTCTCTCTCATCCATGTTTCTAACTCTCTATCCCTCTCCCTTCCTCTCTGTAAAAATCAATAAAATATATTTTTAAAATTCCTGAAATAAAGAATTCATAAGTTTTAAATTGTGTGCCATTCTGAGTAGCATGATAAAATCTTGTGCTGTCCTGCCCGGAATGCAAATCGTCCCTCTGTCCAGCAAATCCATGCTGTATATGCTGCCCGCCTGTTAGTCACTTAGTAGCTGTCTTGGTGATCAGATTGACTGTCATGGTATCACAGTGGTTGTGCTCAAGTAACCCTTATAGTAGCCTAATGCTGTGTCACTTCATCTCACCATGGAGGCACTGTATCATCTCATATCATCACAAGAAGAAGGGTGAGTATAGTACTATAAGATATTTTTGAGAGAGAAACCACATTCACATAACTTTTAGTGCAGTATAGTGTTATAACTGTTCTCTTTATTATTGTTAATCTGTTACTGTGCCTAATTATAAATTAAACTTTATCATAATATTAGGAAAAACAGTACAGATGGGGTTCAATACCAGTATTATCCTCAGTTTCAGGCATCCATTGGATCTTGGAGCATATCCCCCATGGATAAGGTGGAACAACTGCATCAGTATTTCTTTTTTGTAAGAAATATTCCATTGTGTGAATATATCATAATTTTTAAAAAATTCTTTATTGTTTAAAGTATTACATATGTCTCCTTTTTTCCCCATTGACCTCTCCCCAGCCACTCCCACCCCCAGCACATGCTCTCACCCTCCTAGTGTCTGTGTCCACTGGTTATGCTTATATGCATGCATCCAAGTCCTTTGGTTGATCTCTTACCCCCTCCCCGACCCTTCCCTGCCTTCCCTCTGAGGTTTGATGGTCCGCTCGATGCTTCTCTGTCTCTGGATCTATTTTTGTTCATCAGTTTATGTTGTTCATTATATTCCACAAATGAGTGAGACCATGTGTTATTTATCTTTCTCCAACTGGCTTATTTCACTTAGCATAATGCTCTCCATGTCCATACATCCTGTTGTGAATCGTAAGAGTTCTTTCTTTTTTACAGCAGCATAGTATTCCATTGTGTAGATGTACCAGTTTTTTAATCCACTCATCTGTTGATGGGCATTTAGGCTGTTTCCAAATATTAGCTATGGTAAATTGTGCTGCTATGAACATAGAGGTGCATATATCCTTTCTGATTGGTGTTTCTTGGGATATTCACAATTTTTAATCCATTCTCCTGCATATGAACATTTGGGTTATTTCCAAATTTCAGTTATTAAGAATAAAGCTCATTACCCCTGGATATTACATAGGAGAAGAATGGCTAAGCCATACGCTTATTTTTAACTTCATGCAAAACTGCCAAACAAAGTGACTTGCTACTTTTTATAATTTAATTTTTATTTATTTTGACATCATTGTAGTTTCACATTCAGTTGTGAAAAATAATAGATTCTGTATATATCCTTTATCCTTTACCCAGGTTCCCTGGTAACATGTTGCAAAATTATAGTACAACGAAAGGCACAGTGCACGAATTCGTGCACGGCTGGGATCCCTAGGCCTGGCCGGCGATCAGGGCCAAACGGGGCCAGGCCGATCAGGGCCTGTAGGCCAGGGGGAGGGACCTGTGGAAGGCTGGCCGCTGGCCCCGAGGAGGGAGCTAGCCCTCAGTCCCCCTGGGAAAGGGGCTGCGTCTGCCACCACCCACCCCCAGTTCCCCATCCAAGCCCAGGGCCCAAAGGCTCCAGAGGGGTCGGGAGAGGAGGCGACAGTTGCCAGGCCGGGTGCAGAAGGAATGGATGCCGTCGCCACCATGGTCGGCGCCCTGCAATTGCACGGTTCTGTGTCTCCTCCCTTTGCCACCGCGCCGCCACCACGGCAGGCAGGCGGCCCCTGGGGAAGGGAGAGGACAGGAGTGAGACAAACCCTTGTGTTGAGGGCTGACTTTCAATAGAATGCAGTGAGGGAGCTGCTCTGCTACGTATGAAACCCCAACCCAGAAGCAGGTCGTCTACAAATGGTTTAGCACCAGGGGTTGATGGGGGCCAGCCGGCCGGGGGGAGGGACTGCAGGAGGTTGGCTGGCCAGGGGAAAGGGACCACAGGTGGTTGGCTGTGGGAGCGTACTGACCTCCAGGGGGCAGTTCCTGCGTTGAGCATCTGCCCCCTGGTGGTCAGTGCACATCATAGTGACTGGTCGTCTGGTCGTTCCAGTCATTCGGTCGTAACAGTTGCTTAGGCTTTTATATATATAGATATTATATCCTGGATACTGACAATGAAATGATAAAAATAAAGAACATTTTCATCACTAGGATCCTTCCTGATGCCTTTTAATTACCAGTCTCCACAACTACTAATCTGTTCTCCATTTTTATAATTTTGACATTTAAAGAATGTTATATAAATGGCATTTTTTTTAACCTGGCATAATTCCTGGAGAGTCATCTAAGTTGTTGTATCAATAATTTGTTCCTTTTTATTGCCAATTAGTATCCATGATATAGATGTAAGACAGCTTAATTCGTTAAAGGACATCTGGGTTGTTTTCAGATTTTAGCAATTACAAATAAAGCTGCTTTCAACACTGTGTATAGGTTTTTGTATGAAAATAAGTTTTCATATCTCTGGGATAAATGCCTAAAAATGCAATTGCTGAGTCATATAGTAATTGCATGTTTAGTTTTATAAAGAAAGTGCCACTATTTTCCTGAGTAATTGTACCACTTTACAATATATATGCGATCCCATTTCTCCACATGCTCACCAGCATTTGGTGGTGTCACTACTTTTTACTTTAGCTATCTTGATATTCACTGTGTGTTTATATTACATGTTCCTAATAGCTAATGCTGTTGAACATCTTTTCACTTGCTTTAGTGGCCATCTGTATTTGCTGAAGTGGCTGTTCATATCATTTGCCCATTTTCTAACTGGATTATTTGGTTTTTAACTGTAGCGTTTTAAGAATTCTTTTATGCTCCAGATGTTAGTTGTTTGCTAGATATGTGGCTTGCAAATATTTTCTCCCACTTTGTAGCTCTCATGTTCACCCTCTTAACAGGGTCTTTCACAGAGCAAAAGCTTTTGTTTTTATTTTATTTTTTAGTTACATTTATTGGGGTGACATTGGTTAGAAAGATTATTTAGGTTTCAAGTGTACATTTCTATGATACATGATCTGTATATTGCATTGTGCACCCAAAGTCAAATCATCTTCTGTTACCACATATTTGGCTGTCTTTACCTTTTACTACCCGCCACGTCCTTCCCTCTGGTAACTACCATACTGTGTCTCTATGAGTTTCAGTTTTATATCCCACATATGAGTAAAATCAAATGGTTCTGAGATTTTCCTGACTGACATTTCACTTAGTATGAAATGTTTTCAAATTTTCGGGTAGATACCCAGAAGAGGGATTGCTGGGTCATATGGTAATTCTATTCTTAATGTCTGGAAGAACCTCCATACTGTTTTCCATAATGGCTATACCAGTTTACATTCCCACCAGCAGTGAATGAGGGTTCCTTTTTCTCCACAACCTCTCCAACACTTGTTACTTTTTTTGTTAATAATAGCCATTCTAGCCGAAACCGGTTTGGCTCAGTGGATAAAGCGTT